GAATGTCGCAATGAAAGTCATATGCATGCTATAGGATATATAGTATGGGATATATATTCTATAAGGTGAATATGAGTGATAGAAAGGAAGATGTTAATGATGAAAATAATATACATGCTATAAGGAATATATTATGGAATATATGCTCCATAGGGTGAATATGAATAACGAGAAGCACGATGTCTTCGAAGGGATGTAATATGCGTGCTATAGGATATATATATATATATATATCATGGGAAATATATACTATAGAACGAATATGAATAACATGGAAATGGAAGAAAGTAGATATGAGTGTTTCAATTATGTGCTTGTGGTTATAAATTATATCAATGCTTAATTGTATTTGAATGTGGATTATCATGTGAAGTTAGTTTTTAAACTAATGACTTGCTCCCTGTGTTTTGCGTGTTGCTTATAATAATCCCATTGTAGGTAAATGAAGGATTTTGAGGAGGAAGCTCACTTAGGGAGATTTTGTGTTTATCAATCTGATTGTCTTTGTGGCTACTTGACATTGTAGTTGAATTGATGACATTTTGGGATAAATGTAATCTGATTAGGATAGTACGGAGATTTGTAGTCATGGACTTTATAACTCCAGGAACCCCTAACTGGTTGTATGTGGTAATTGCTAATTGAATGAATTATGTTTTTCCGCAACATAACTTTGTATGATAATACCATGGGGTAAAGAGTATTTTCAAAGAGTGTTTCATGAGGGTTTTTCAGTAAGGTGATAGATGTATGTAAGAGAGGATTAAAATAAATGAAAAAATTTCAAGGGTAAAAATCGGGTCGTTACAGTTTATGTATTGGTGGAGTGCCAACGGAAATAAAACTCGGAATAAAGCAATAAATTGTAAGTCACTTTGTAGTTACAAGAATATATGGTATGTTGTAATGATGTCGGGTGCATTTATTGTTTATGTATTGGTGGAGTGTCAATGGAAATAAAACTCGGAATAAAGCAATAAATTGTAAGTCACTTTGTAGTTACAAGCATATACGATATGATGTAATGATGTCGGGTGCATTTATTGTATATGTATTGGTGGAGTGCCAATGGAAATAAAACTCGGAATAAAGAACGAAATGTAAATCACTTTGTAATTATAAGCATATATGGATATGTTTGTAATGATGTCGGGTGCATTTATCGTTTACATATTGGTAGGGTGCCAATGGAAATAAAAATCGTTTTTTTAACTAACCATGATGGTTAGCGATGTTTGCTCAAGCTATGCAGTAAGGTTTTTCAAAAGTATCAACGATGAAAAATGGTTTTGATTATATTTGATTTACTTCGTTATTTAACCTTATTAACCATTGATGTTTATTGAGTTATTTATCTTTAAAACTCCTTTTTTTAACTAACCATTGATGTTTATTGAGTTAACGACTTACTCCTTTGTGTTTTGTCTGTGTATGGTCAATGTTAATCCCATTGCAGGTAGGTGGACGGAGTAAGGGTGATTTTGACTAGGAGATTAGAGACCCTTATTTTTATGTCTCTTTATCCATTCTTTTGTAACCTCATTGGTTGTACTTGAAGTAACAAATTGTAACTATGAATACTATTTTTGTGCATGATATTGATCATGGAGACTAGTAACTCGGGATATATATAGTTATGGGTGTTTTGGAAACTCATAGCTAATTATATGCGGTAGTTACTAGGTTACATTAATATGAATTATGTTTTTCTTCATTGAGAATGTATGTATGAATACCACAGGATAAATAGTCCGAAAATAATCAAGGTAAACAATGTAACGTATATATGGTTAATAATTATGAAACATAAACAAATTGAATGTTTGCATGAGTTAAAATAAGAGAAAAATTTACAGGGTAGAATTTGGGTCTTTACAAGTTCTATCAAAGTTGTGTGTTGAATCTGAGTTCCAATGCCTTTATATAGACTTTCCAATCAACCATAACACCTTCAGGAAAGGGTAGGATTCGTTTGGAATGAAACCATTTCGTTTGGGATGAAAGCTGTTCAGATTGAATATGAAAATTTGGTGTAACATCTCTCAGTAATCGATTACATCATATGGGTAATCGATTAGCCAAGTGACCTGTCCAACTTAGAAACCAATTTTCATGTTGAGTAATCGGTTACTCTAGTTGTAACGGCTCTCAATAATCAGTTACAATACTTAGGTAATCGATTATCTAAGCCTACTGTCCAACTGAGTGACTAATTATAAAACTGAGTAATCGGTTACACTGATAGCAGTAATCGATTACTGTGTTTCAGTTTTTGTTAGTTAACCTATTTCTCACTCATGTAACCTGTTACGTGGTTCCAGTAATCTGTATCTCAATCATAGTAACCTGTTACTCAGATCCAGTAACTTGTTACTCATTGTTTTGAAAATTGTTTTTATTAAAACTTATGAATCTTGTTTTCCCTTAAAAATATACCTTTTGAGCATTACTACTAAAAGTATAACTTAAAGAGTGTAAGGATAGAAGTACCCATGACTTAGACTCTAAATGTCTTGAAGCTTTATCTTCATTGTCTTCATAAGTATTCTTCCTTATTCTTATTTTTGTGATGTTGGTGCCTTCATCAAAACCGTGTCAAAGTCAGGAGCAAGATCTTCTTCACAAATTCATCCAAGTTAAATCCATCCAAATTCAACCGTTAGAGCTAATGAAAATAAAAATATTTCCATCCAAAAAAATAAAAAATAATTTGTTTTTCTCAAAACACACGTGCAAACTTCTTTTTAACAAAATGTTTCATTCAAAAGTTGCATTACCCTTTCTAACAAAAATATTTCTTCAACAAAAGCTAGCTTTATTCAACTATGGAAGTTTATTTTTCCAATATCTTCATTCCTTTTACTTAGACTTCAAATAATTGCATTGAGTGTTTAACATTTCTTGTCAGTTTCATTTCTCTTGTATTCCTTTCAATTGGATATTTTAACTATCTATCAATCATGTAATTTAACTTTGTTAAATATAATTTATGTTTGTAATCAACTAAAAAACATGAAGAATGAGAGAAATAGCAAAACAAATCTATGAATTTCATGATATACGTCAAATATTTCTAACAACACTAACCTGAACCTCACGTGAAGGTTTTAAGATTATAAATTTAAGTTTAACCACATGATTTACCATTAAAAGCTTAAAATTTAATTTTTAAGTTTATTACACTTTTAAGTTTTTGGATAAAAACTTCAAAAGTTCACCTTTTTAAAAGTGTTTTAAAAAAAACGCTTTTTAAAAATGTTTTTTTAAAAGTACTTTTAAAAATGTGAAGTTACGGATATCCATCCAAATCCATAAAAACAAAGTTATAGATTGATTGGATAGATTATAATCCATTGGATATGGATAGTTTTGATAACTTAAAATATGGTCTAAATGGATTTATATGGATTGATGGATGCCTTTCCATCCATCCATTTTCATCCAAATCCAAACTCATCCAAATCCATTCATTTGTCGCCCTTAATTCTAACCCAAAAGTCAATGAGAAACTCAAATACAAACATCCTTAATGCACAATTTAGGATCAATACACCAAGAAAGGTAGGAAGAAGCTAGTTTGCCAAACTTTGCCCAAAACCAAGACCAAGATCTTAATTTAATCAACTCCACTATCAAGCTAGCATTGAAACTTTTCCCTTCAAAAATTGTTTCATTTCACATAAACCATGTGGATCAAATCACTTAGAACGAAAACATTCTCCAAAGATCTCTGTGTTTAGAATTCTTGCATTACAGATCATGCAAATTCAATGAATTTGCGCTATTCCTCCGAATTTGTAGTGACATTGAGAGCAATAATTTAAACAAAACACACAATTTAAATCATGTTGGCCTAAACTAACATTCCTCTTAGCCAAAGCATCCTTAGTTGCAATTTCACCCTAAGTGATTCCCAAACAAAGCACCATACCTTTGAGGGGCAGAAGAGATCAGGCATTTCTTTAGTGATAGTGTTTAGATATTAAACTCATAAATGAATGTTATAAATAAATAGTCTATTATCTATATAGTGTTAGTTTAAAGTTGAGTGCTACTCACTTTGATCCTTAAAAAATTTTGTACGTACCAATTTGATCCCTGAAAAAATCTAAATTGGTACTCAAAGATCACAAATGTAAGTCAAATATTTTCTGCCACAGTTACAACAATGTTAAACATGACTAATTTGATTCATATTTGAAATTTTTAGAATCATTTTGATCAAATTGGTAGATGCAAATTTTTTGAAGGACAACAATAAGTCTTTACTCTATTCTTTATTACACAATCACTATATTATTCATCAAGATCATCATGTATGTGCATTATTTTTATCTAAAAGTCGACGATACATGAATGATATAATGATAATTTAAAAAACACTGAACTGAAATTACTTTATTATTACATTATTAGCCCCAAACTTTTGGTATTCAAATATGATTCTTAGCAACAAGGCAAAGATGATTCTTCTTATGTTGTGCAAGTCCTGGTAACCCTTCTATATCAATATCTTCCCTTTTCATCCCTTTAGGCATTTCCCAATCAAATGAATTAACAAGATTTGCAACTATGAGTTTCACTGTTGCAATTCCTAAAGATATGCCTGGACATATTCTACGACCTGCACCAAATGGAATTAGTTCGAAATCTTGTCCTTTAAAATCAATATCATTGTTAAGGAATCTCTCAGGATAAAACTCTTTTGGGTCATTCCAAATTTCTGGGTCTCTTTGAATGGCCCAAATATTCACATAGACTAATGTCTTAGGTGGTATTTTATATCCTTCAATAATGATACTTTTATTTGTTTCTCTTGGTAGAAGTGGTACTGGTGCAAAGAATCTTAGTGACTCTTTTATCACCGCTTTTAGATAAACTAGCTTTTCAATGTCATCTTCATTTAGAAACTCTTTTTTGCTATAGAGATTTCTGATTTCTTCTTTAGCTTTCTTCATTACTCTTGGGTTTTTCATTAATCCTGTCATTACCCAAACAGATGTTGCTGCACTTGTATCTGTTGCTGCTACCAGTATGTCCTGTCATTATCAAATAAGAGAAATTAAGATCTTAAACCAGACCTGTCTTTTAAATTGTGGTTAGTGTGATTGCGGTCATTATGATGCGGATTGTGAACATTATGGTATTAATTTGATGCGTCTTGATATGGCCCAATGCAGTCTGATGCAGTTACGTTGCTGCCCCATCATTGTAATTCAGTGTCACAATACAATTGCAGTTTGATGTGGTCACTACAACTATAATATTATGACATCATAGAGCAATACAATCCACACTTTAAATCATTGAATCAGACTATCACTTCATGTTCTATGTTCAAAATGATTAATATCATATAAATTAAAAGTAAAAGGGGCATTGGTGATGAAACTGGTTTTTCCACAGGAGCTTAATGTCAAATGTGATGGTGGTAGAATTTAATTTTGTGAAAGTAGAACCATAAAGTTCTGATTAAAAGTAAAAGGGGCTTTGGTGATGAAACTGCTTTTTTCATAGAAGCTTAATGTCAGATGTGATTGTGGTACAATTTAATTTTGTGAAAGTAGAACTATAAAGTTCTGATTAAAAGTAAAAAGGGGCATTGGTGATGAAACTGCTTTCTTCATAGAAGCTTAATGTCAAATGTGATTGTGGTACAATTTAATTTTGTGAAAGTAGAATCATAAAGTTCTGATTTTCATAAATACTTTCATGTTTATGGACCCTAGTTCCTACTATAATTTAGGACATTGTAGTGATGGACTTAAAATTTGTTAATGTTTCAAATTGAAATTTTTTGAGTAAAACAAAGTGTTAGATAGTAGGGGTTAGTAGGACCTACACTATCCATTTATTCGGTTTGGCTTGATCATAATCGTGTCCAAATAGGGTTAGGTTTCATTGGGTCTAGGGTCGAGTTCAGGTTCAAAAATTAGACTCAAATAATATTTAGGGTTGGTAAGGGAGAAACATGACCCAACTCAACCCCGTCCCATGACATTCACTCATCATATTAATATGTGTTTCTATTTAACTATGTACAGAGTAATGATATATCTTTAGTCGAAAATATCACTGATTCTCTAATTTTTCATCATATATGCATAAGGATGGCAATGGGTCTCGATGGGTCCAGGATGTGCTCTTCAATTAACATAATATTATATCATACATACGAATTAACAACATAACATTGTTGCTTAACAAAATAACAACACAATTTAACAACATAACTATCACATTTATGAATTAATATGATATTATAATTATAGAATAATATGGTATTACAATATAGATTAACACGATATTACAATTATGTTGCTATATATATAAATTTAGGAAGAAATGGCGGGTTCGGGTACCCACGGGTCTAGGTACCTCATTATTCGGACCCAGAACCATCTAACAGCGGATCTTAAAATTGCGGGTTTTAATTACCCAGGGTACAAAAACATGGACCCAGACCCGACCCGTTGTGGGTATTTTTAGTGGGTACCCGCGAATCCGGTACCCATTGCCATCCCTATATATGCATGACTAACAATATATACATATATCATTTCATATGTCAAATTACATATCCATAATAATAAGTAAAATGTTCAGAAGATTTTATCTAAAAGAGATATACAATATACTTAATCGGGTGTAGGGTCAGTCGGGTTTGGATTCAAAGTATGACCCGATCGACATTTAAAGTCGGGTTAACTTCGGGTCTAGATCTGGGTATGGGTTCAAAAAATAACCTAATAATATTTAGAGTTGGATAAATGATAAGTCTTACTCGAACCAACTAGGTCCATACTCACCCCTATTAGATAGTATTCATTTTCAAGATCTAGTTTTACTAATTTTAGGTGGATCCACCAAATTATAATAGTTTAACTGAACCATCTCTTTATGTTTTGAGTTGTGAAGGTTACAATCTACAATCAAATACATTAAGCTTATATAGTTCTTAACATATGAAGAAGCTGCAAAAGATATTCTCATTAGATGTGTTTATTCATATCAATGAATTTTTCCAAGGATATAGTGTAGTATTCATTTTTCAGGAGTCTAATCTAGAAGCTGTTCAATTAAAAAAGGTGGTTCAATGTTACGAGGCTCCCACTTAATGGAGTATGGGGAGTTTAGATGTACACATCTTTACTCTGACAAATGGAAAGGTTATTTTTAGGATTTGAACCCGTATGACCCAAGGTAATTAGACAATAATCTTACCATTGCACTAAACTCACCATAAAAAAAATACATACGTACCATGATGATAGCTAATTAGGAAAAAGTCTACAAATAAAATAAAAAATGGAAAAAACATAAAGCACATACCATGATGATAGCTTTAATGCGGTTATTGGTAAGATCAATTGACAAGTGACCATGCTTTTTCAGCTCAAGCAACACATCAACTATATCCTCTTCCTCTTTGGTTCCTCTCTCCCTATTAGGATCAAGGTGCTCATCAAGAACTTCTTGGAAAAACAAATCCATTTCTTTGAAAATATTTTCAAGCCTAGTAAGGGACCCATTGAGTTTATCAACCCAGCCCATAAAAGGAATATAATCTGAAACAAAAAAGGTAATAAACATAGCTTGTGACTCATTAAGAAGCACATGAAATCTACTCCTTTCAATTCCTTCATCTTCATATCTTCTTCCAAAAGCAATCCTACATACTATAGCACTTGACACAGACATTATGATTTCACTCAAGTTTGTAACTTTTGAAGCATCAACATGGCCACATATTTTCTTAATCATTTGCTTCACTTCAAAATTTCTTATATAAGAATAGCTAGAGATTCTTTTGGAGCTGAAAAAATGAACTACACAAGTTTTTCTAATTTCTCTCCAAGAATCATTATAAGGTGAAAATATCATTTCTAACCCATTATAAGATAATTTTTGTTGCCCTAGAGAAGATGGTCTACTACATACATCAAGATCATGGTCCTTAAGAACCACTTTTGCAAGTTTAGGTGTTGAAACAACAATAGCTGGTTTTAGACCAATTTGAAGAGAGAAAAATGGACCATAGATTTTTGAAAGGTTCCATAGATTTAAACTAAGTTTTGAACTATCAAGTTGATGAAGATTACCAATTATGGGAAGGCCTCTAGGACCTGGTGGAAGGGTTGATGAATTCTTAGTGGATATGAATTTTTTGAAGAGAAACAATACCAAAAGAGGTGATATGAGAAGTAGATGTAGAAATGATAACATTGTGAAAGAGTTTTAGAAATTTATCTAACTAGGTAATGTCTTATTAGAGTGCTTTCAATTTATTTATATAGACACAATGCTTTGAATATCTAGCTAGACCATACTAAAATAGTTACCAAGTAACAAAGATAAAAATAAAATGAGAAGACTATAAGTTTGACGAGTTTTCATGGTTTGAGTCGAAATTGGCAGCAGAACTACTTGAATATTTTGATAAGATGATTTGTTGTTAATTTTTTTATAAGTAAAAAAATTATTAAGAAATTGAGGTAAGGAAATACATTTAGTACAAAATCTTACATTGGGAGTGCTAGCTAAATTTTCCTAGGACACAGATAGATCCTATCTAACAATTACAAAAAATTTCAACTTCATTCCCATAACCTCATGTCATCTAAATTTAATTTAAATAACTTTGTAAACAAAGAACTAAGTTGGTATTCTATTCGAACCTTATATATTCATTTGGTTCATATCTAAGACTTTAATTTTATTGTATGCACTATTTCCTTTATAATTGTGTTCTTGTTGTTGAAGATTGTTGCATTCCTGCTTGTCCAAACGTCCAAGTTCTAGCCATTCATGTACTGTTAAAACATTTCAAAACCTTTTGCATCCTATTAATATGGAGTGATGTAATATATATTTCTTTCCATTTGGAGATAGCACCACTTTGAAACCCGACCATTGTTAGATTCACTCACATACAAGGTAAGAGAAACGACAAGAGAAAAACAAATGATCCACATTTTTATCTTGACCATTACACCAGATACACGCTAGGTCATATCTATTGACATTCACGTCTCTCTGTGTAAAATTTAATTAATAAGGAAGTCTATCCAGGATAATTTTCCATGCTAGCTAGTATCTAGGTCTTCAATGGCACCACAAATTTTCAAATTAAATGAAGCAACTTTCTATCGCGTGTTCCAGTGTCACCATGTTGCAAAATGATGTTATAAGCTTATTTGATTATATATGTGTTTGACACGTCATGAATCCAGCTCCATTGATCTCCGGTCTCCTCCTTCATAGGTGCAAGACTAATTAGCTTCACTAACTCCTCAATTCTAGGCTTCTCCTAGTCAAAAGGTTATCTCCCCCAAGTAAAGTTATGTTTCTATTCCTCCTCTACCTAATCACTTAGTTGACTGCCCATAGCCTGTTTCTCTACAATCAAATTGAAAAGTTGCTCAAAAGAATACTTCAGGAGTCCTTAGCTCACACAAAAGTTAGACCATAACCTTATTTTTTATCATTCCTCAATACTTTTTTAAAACCACATGCCAACCGCCCTTTGCCTAAAGGCTGTCCCAAACAACACCTTCAAATTCCTTCATCAAAGAGATTTCTTGGACCCTTATAGGTTTCTATCCATAATGTAACACCCTAAATTTAAGTCTTTAAAATTATAATATCAGTCCTGGGATTCTCGCTTGAGCGAGGGATTCTCGCCTGGGCGAGAAAGGCTCACCTAGGAGGGTGAAATCCTGGGCTATACTAAAGGATTCTCGCCCGAGTGAGAGTCGGCTCGCTTGAGCGAGAGCTGGCTCGCCTGGGCGAGAAAAGTGATGTTTTGGACCTGTCAAGGCTGTAAGATCCTCGCTTGAGCGAAAGGATCCTCGCTTGAGCGAGAGGATCCTCGCTTGAGCGAGAGATGCCTCGCCTGGGCGAGAGGGTCAGATCTGAGTTTTTAAAATAGGCGGGATTTTCTCGCTTGAGCGAGAATGGGCTCGCTTAAGCGAGAGCCCGACGAGACAACATTAAATGAGAAACCTCAAACACATTTTAGGGTTAGAAATTGAAGAGAGGTGAGAGAAGAGAGCTTTCCCAATGGCAAGGAGCTTGGATACTCATTTAAGAGCTTGAGAAGAGATCCTAAAGTTGGAGGCAGTGTCGGTGGAACTTAAGAAACTGCCAAGAACCAAACCCAACACTCACTGAGGTAAGGATAAGTCTTTAACTTATGCACTGTGATGGAAAATGCGTGGATTTTTCTGGTTATGGATAATGAAATGAATTGTGAATCACTTAATTGTTATAAGCATATATGGGTATGTTTGTAATGATGATGGTGTGGATTTACTGTTTATGTATTGGTGGAGTGCCAATGGAAATAAAACTCGGAATAATGAAATGAACTGTGAATCACTTAATTGTTATAAGCATATATGGGTATGTTTGTAACGGTGATGGTGTGGATTCACTGTTTATGTATTGGTGGAGTGCCAATGAAAAAAAAACTCGTTTTTAGCCGACCATGATGGGTTAGCGACTTTGGCTCAAGTAATGTAGCAAGCTTTGGCTCAAGCGATGTAGCAAGTTTTGGCTCAAGTGATGTAGCAAGTTTTGGCTCAAACGATGTAGCAAACTTTGGCTCAAGTAATGTAGCAAGCTTTGACTCAAGCAATGTAACAAACTTTGGCTCAAATTATGTAACAAACTTTGGCTCAAGTTATGTAGCATGGTTTTCAAAAGTATGAACGATGAAAATGGTTTTGAGTATATTTGATTTTAAACCGTTATTTAATCTTATTAAATGTGGATTAACTTACATCGATATTTATTGAGTTAACGACTTACTCCTTTGTGTTTCTTGGTGTATTGTCAATGTTAATCCCATTGCAGGTAGGTGGAAGGAGTATGAGTGTTTTTGATTAGGAGCTTAGAAACTTTTATTTTGATGTCTCTTATCCATTTTTTGTAACTTCATTGGTTGTACATGAACTAACTATTTGTAACTATGAACATGTTTGTTGTACATGGTATTAACCATGAGAACCAGTAACTCGAGATATATGTAGCTATGGGTGTTTTGGAAACCCATAGCTATTTGTATGCGGTAGTTACTAAGTTACATTAATACAGATTATGTTTTTCTGTACCTGATTTGGTATGTCAATTTTGGTATATAGATTTGGGCGTGATGAAGAAAGTGAGATCTTTTAAATAAGTTCGTTCAATCGGTAAATATAATTTATAATTAAATGCATGAAATTTGATTAAAATTAGGAAAAAATTTCAAGAGTAGAATTTGGGTCCTTACACATCTATCATGGTATTGTGAATGCTATATAAATTTTACCCAAAAACTTTCATAAAAATAACTAGCACTTTCATATCCACATAGGTGAATATTCAGAGTACTCATATAGTTAGGTATTTCTTAGTTCAGATTGGACTTATCATTCTAAGGAAAATAATGCATTTCTTCTCAGATTGGACTTATCATTCTAAGGAAAATAATGCATTTCTTTTAGGTTCACCAATTTTTTAGGTTCACCAATTTATGTTCATATCTAATTTTTAGGTTCACCAATTTTTTAGGTCAGATTGGACTTATCATTCTAAGGAAAATAATGCATTTCTTATCATTTTTCACTCGTGGATACATAATCCACTATTATTATAACAATGCGTCAAAAAAGTTGGTATGAATCTTTTTCAAAACAGTTAATTACACTGACACCCCCTGAATTTTAGTGAAATTATATACATCACTCATCCATTTTTTACACCTACAAAAACCCCTGATTTTTGTACATACATTACACACTCTACCTCTGCATGTGAAATAAGTGTGATTTTTTTACATAAAAAATGATGATAAGGGTAATGAAGTTAAACAAAATATTGTATATTTTGGAAATAAGTCCAAATAGTATACGAGTCAACACATTTTCATTATTTTTGGTTCGTTATAATATCGTATAAGAGTGATTTAAATAATATATCCTTATAATTATTGATGCATTTTGTAATGAACAAAAAATAATGAAAATGTGTTGACGTATATACTATTTTGATTTGTTTCTAAAATATATCATATTTTGTTTAACTTCATTACACTTATCATCATTTTTTATGTAAAAAATCACACTTATTTCACATACAAGGATAGTCTGTGTAATGTATTTACAAAAACCAGAGGTTTTTTGTATAGGTAAAAAATGGAAGGTGCTCTGTGCAATTTCATTAAAACTCAGGGGTGCAAATGTAATTAAGTCTTTTAAAAAAGGAATATATGCTAACAATCTTCTTAAATAACTGGTCTCATCCATAATAGTTGTCAATCCTATTTTTTATCATCTCAAATTTAACAATTAATTAAGTCAGGAGAGTTTGTCTCATTGATTCCAAAAAACATTTCCACTAACTATAAAACAATTAGGCAATGTATGGTTAATGTGGTCACATACTAATCATGAATTAGATGATACAAATAAGTCTTAGGATGAAGGGATACTACTCAACAAAATAAATCTTCTCTCTTTCTCCCTCTCTCCCTCTCTCCCTCTCTTATTTGATTAGGATATAACTTATTATATTCTATAACCTTCAACATGGGACCCATTTAGAATTCTGATATCTCATGAATGATAAACTCCTACATTAGTATGATTCAATTTGCAAAAGTAGAAAATCGTCATTGGCAATTAGTAATTAAATATTAAGAATTGAAATATATTATATGTGGTTTTGATTAGATGAAAGATTAGAAAATCATGAATTCAGACACATACATTATACTGCATTTAGAAATAAGTGTATTTATGATTTTACTTCTATTATTCATAACTAAATTTTAATTATACTTAAAAAATTTATGTGCTCTCAATATTTTATTGATTATCTTTATATATATATATATATGTTTTCACACAAATTATCTTTGAATAAAAAAATTAAAAATTAAAGAAATTATCTCACATTCTCAGATGAGCTGCACCTAAGATGTTGAAGCTTTGAAAATACAAATATTAGAATTAGAATGTGAAGAAGCACATGGTCCCACAATGATATATATAGTAATAATACAATGAATATGATATATATGGGTGAACATTTTATATCGAGAAAATGTACAACTTCATTTGCTATTATTTGTGATTGGTCAAATAAATATATAGTTATTAAAATTTTAACTTATATACACACTCGTTCGTGCAAGTACAAGAATCCTTCCATATTTTTCATTACATCCAGGTGGCAATGCAACAAACCTTTGCTATTCTGACACTATACTCGGGTGATACAAAGTGTTGCTTCCGGGCAACGACCTATCATTATTATATCATTAATCCATATCATAGATATTCAACAAAGTTTTATGTTAATTATTAAATATGTAACACAAATTTTTACCTTTTATCTGAGCTTAGAATTGTAAGAACCCAAATTCTACCCTTGAAATTTTTTTTCTTAATTAAAACAATTTCCTTTCATTATATCATTTCGAACATCCAAAGAGTTATTTTCAAACACTCATTAGTCTTTTTTTCTATATACCATACATAAATCAGTAACACACAGGTTCGCGATGCAGAAAAACTTAATTCGATTAAGTAACTCTCCGTGAGAGTAAAATATCCAGAGTTATGGTTCCACATAACGGGATTCCCATAATTACACAACTAAAAACTAACACCTTAGTCATGATTACAAGAATTCAAATCCACAGGTAATTAGTTACAAAACCACAAGTACAACAAGAGAAATCTAGCTATAAAACTCCTAAGTTTCCCAAACGAGCATCCTCAATTTACCTGTTTATCTGCAATAGGATTATTGATAACAAATACACAAAACGCACAAAGGGGTAAGTCATTAATTCAATAATCATCATTATTAGATAATCCACATTTTAAATACAATATAAACATTAGAGTGAAACACATATTACAAGTACAAGGAGATAACCATTCATATTTACTTTCTTTTCTTTCCATATTATCCATATTCATCCCATAGCATATATATATCACATGATATACATACTCTATAGCATGCATATAAATCTATCCCCAATCATTTTCTTTTCCTTATTTTTCATATTCACCCTATAGTATACATATCCCATAATATATATTCTATAGCATGCATATTCACCTTTTCCAAATCACTTTCATTTCCAAAAACACCTTATTCATCCTATATTATATATATCCCATAATATATATATCCTATAGCATGTATATTCCTTCTTTCCAAATCACTTTCATTTCCGAAAATCCATATTCACACTAGTGCATATATCCCAAAATATATATTCTATAGCATGCATATTCATCCTTTCCAAATCACTTTCATTTCCAAAACTCCATATTCATCCTATAGTATATATATCCCATAACATATATTCTATAGCATGTATATTCATCGTAAGACCGTACCATTATTTCACAACATAATCGTACTACGTATCTCGAACCAAAGTGTCGCTACATAACAGGAGCCCACAATATCGCCTCATTAACCCGAGCCAGGGTGTCACTATATAACTGGAGCCGCAGTATCGCCTCCTTAACCCGAGCCAGGGTATCGCTACATAATTTGGGCCTGAAGTCGCTAACCATCCGTGGTCGGCTAAAAACATGTTTTATTTTCTTGACACATCAACAATTTATAATTAGCAATTTCACACATTCCTTTATTATAAACATACTCATGCATGTTTACAATAAATAAATGACTTGCATTTCAACTACTTTCACAACCAGACAAATCCGTACACTTTCCATTACGAAGTACAATTAAAGACTTATCCTTGAGTAACCTTACCAATCTCCTCCGCGAATTCCTCCAACCTTAGGATCTTTCCTCATTCCCAGCGTATAACACAAATGTTAGTCATTTATCCCAAATAACACATAAATAACTCATTTTGCATCATCAAACATACAAGGGATTTACATATTTTCAAGGTTTCTAAAACTATTTCAATACGAGTCTCTAAACATTTAAAACATACATATTCATCTCATATATTAACATTAGAGCACAAACTCATCTTCTACATTTAACATTTTACCCATTTCCCTTTTCACTCATATTCTCATTTTGGGGGTTTCGGGGTTTTCGTGAATAAACCCACAAAACCTTTCCATTCATCAAATACCAACTCTAAACTAAGAGTTTACAAGAGAAAAACAACATAAAACGAACCATAACTCTAAAGGAAGAGTTTCCATGGTTTCTCATACTTTGAGAAGAGATCCATACACCCAAAAACGAGTTTGAAAGGGAGAAAGAGAGTTAGAATCAAGAGATTTACCTCTTCTCAAGCTTCTAGATGATTCCCACGAGTTCTTGCTCTCAAAATAACATTCTCCTCTCTTCTCTCTCAATTTCTAACCCTAAAATGTGTTTGGGGTTTCTATTTTAAAGTGAAATCGTCGGGTTCTGGCTCAAACGAGCCCATTCTCGCTCATGTGAGAAAATCTCGCCTTTTTAAAATTTCAGATCTGACGCTCTCGCTCAAGCGAGGAATTTCTCGCATAGGCGAGACAGCTCTCGCTCAAGCGAGGATCCTCTCGCTCAAGCGAGGATCTTACAACCCCGACATGTAAGGACCCAAATTCTACCCTTGAAATTTTTTTCTTATTTTAATTCGATTCCATGTATTTACTCATAAATCACATTACCAATTTAATAACCTTACTTCAAAATCTCACTTCCCTCCTCACACTCAATCCATGAACCAATAATGACATACATAATCGTTTGACTGAAAAACATAATTCATATTAATATAGAATGGTAACTACTGCATACAACTAGCTATGGGTTTCCAAAATACCCGTAGCTACAAATATCCAGAGTTACAACATCAAGTTAACTAAGATATATTACACAAGGTTTTAAACTATCAAATATGCACT